CATTGTCATTGTCTTTGTCATTGTCATTGTCATTGTCATTGTCATTGTCAGTGTCATTGTCATTGTCATTGTCATTGTCATTGTCATTGTCATTGTCATTGTCATTGTCATTGTCATTGTCATTGTCATTGTCATTGTCATTGTCATTGTCATTGTCATTGTCATTATCATTGTCATTGTCATTGTCATTGTCATTGTCATTGTCATTGTCATTGTCATTGTCATTGTCATTGTCATTGTCATTGTCATTGTCATTGTCATTGTCATTGTCATTGTCATTGTCATTGTCATTGTCATTGTCATTGTCATTGTCATTGTCATTGTCATTGTCATTGCCATTGCCATTGTCATTGTCATTGTCATTGTCATTGTCATTGTCATTGTCATTGTCATTGTCATTGTCATTGTCATTGCCATTGTCATTGTCATTGTCATTGTCATTGTCATTGTCATTGTCATTGTCATTGTCATTGTCATTGTCATTGTCATTGTCATTGTCATTGTCATTGTCATTGTCATTGTCATTGTCAATGTCAATGTATTGTTATTCGCTTAAGCTGAACTGCAATTAGATGACATGAATTTGCATTGGTTCGCTTTAGCTCGTCTGTCTTCATCGCAAATGCATTTATTTTAAAACTTTCGTAAGCGAATGGACAGCTTAAACTGCAAGCAGCATTTAAAGTGCAATTTGCGCGCTGGAATTGACAATTTTCCACTTTTCTACTGAAATTTCTTTCCAAATAAAATGGCGACCATAGCTGATGGAAAAAAGAAAATGTGAAAAACCAGCTCGCATTTTAAGTTTTCTGCTACAATCAAAAGCTGCTGTGACAAATCCGGTTACAATGTGCAAGCAGCAATAAAAAATGATATTCCTGTAAGGTCTTTCGCTTTGTTTGCTAAGGGTATTAAATTATTTTAAATTTCCATGCCATTATTTTATGAATAATTAAATGCCTAATGCAAAGTCTTTTAGAAAACGACTTTTTGAAATATTTTGAAAGTTCACTTCATACGCATTGAAAGCAGTTAAATTCAGAATAGGCTAAATTGAGTTGAAATTGTTATATGGAATGCATATCCTTGCACGTTTTTTACGACGTGTCCACCTGGCCGTGGCAATTGAACACCTTTTCCGATGGCAGGCAGGGCAGGACACGAAAATGTAGCACACGTTGCGCGTCCAGGACCTTTCGTTTGCTTCGATTCAGTGAAGTGCGAAATATTCGCGCCTCGATTTGCATGTCCACATAAAGTTTGAAAAGGGGAAAAGCACAGGGCAAGGGAGCTCGGCAGGTTCGTGTTGGCGCCGCACATAAATGCAAATGCTAATGGGTTCTGGGTGCCAAAAGAAAGAGTGGAGACTGGAGAGTGGCGAGTGGAGAAGGGCAGCAACTGCTTAGGCGCATTCGAGCAGAAACTGTGGCATACATTTAGGCGCCGCCGCATGCAAATGTTTGACGTTATGCGATAATAAAAGCAAATCCGAGCACACAAAGTAAACACAAAATGCAAAAAGCAAAAAAGAATTTATATATATTTACTCGTATATATGTACATAAAACGCAGGCAAAAAGATATTTTCATCTTTCTTTATTTCAGTTGTTCCCTTTATGTTTTTTTATGCGTTTCACTTTGCATATTTTCTTGTTGCTTGTTCGATTTTTATCGCAACGTCTGCGACGATATTTGAAATTGTTGCGCAAATATTTGCGCTTTTATGTGCATTCTCCAAACGAAGGTACCGAGGCCCTACCCTGGCCAACGCCAGCGCAATCTCGCTCATCTAATGCCTTCACTGCTTCAACGAACTGAATTTTTCTTTTACTCTTGATACCCTGTAGATAATAGGTAGCAGATAACAGACTTAGACAAATTGCTGGGTTACTCGAGGGTATTACAAGAGCCAAACAATTTGAGATGTGTACAATTCACTCATAGTAAAGTTGAGCTATGAATTCATAGAATAAATAACTAGATTTATGGCTTATGAGCAGAGACATTGCACATAGATATAATTAAGAATTTATGTCTAAGATTAGTGTATCTCAATTTTTATAGGGTATATCTAGGCAAAATAGTTGGCATTTATATATATATTTCAGTTTAGTTAAGATTGAGGCTCATTCAGATTTTTCTGATACTTTGCATTTGCATGTATATAGCCTTAAAAGTTATAGTTAATCTTGTGACTTTATAGGGTATATAAAATTAAAAAAAAATGTTCATAAATCAAAAATTAGAGGTTTTTTTAAAACATTAAATGTAACCTTAAAAAATCTTATAAACAAATAAAAAGTTCACTTTGTTTCTTCTTCCCTCTCTCTTTTTCTACCCCTTAGTATTACACTACAGGATATCTCTCGGTCATGCTCCAAAAATAATACATTCTTGCTTTTTATGCATGCTGATTTCCTTTACGTTTCATTTTTTTTGTTTGATTTACTTGCGCTTTGTGTTTGTCTTCTCATTCGTATTGGTATTTGTATTTGTATTTGTGCTTGCAGTCGCATAGGGTATACGTATATATATATAGGGTATACGGACTGGTATTGGTATTGAGTATTGGGTATTGCAAAGGTAAATTGGATTGAGAAATTGAAATCGCATTCACAGCATTGGAAAAGCGTAAGGAAAATAAGAAAAAAATGCCAGCAACTGTAAAACAGTTCGCAGCAATTGAAATTTTCTTGTCTTATTTGTCTTATCGATTTTATATACATGTAAATATATGTATAGACTAAATAGAGCATGTCTGCGAGTGTGTGTGTGTGAGCGTTTGTTTGTCTAACTTGTGTAGCAGATAATCAAGCCAAAGTTACATCCAAGCCATAAACTTTAATGAGTTCGCCCAAAAGGCAATGCTCAAAAGATGCCTGAAGCACAGCTTTGACCCTAGATATAAACATGTAATATTAGATTGCAAAGAGAATATCATTGTAACGAAAGTACCTGAGGAGCTTTACTTTGTAGTTTGTTTGCTTGTCAACACTGAATTGGAAAACTTAAGGAATACACTGAAAAAAACTGTTTATCTTAAAGATCATTTCAAGTTTATGCAAAATACTCTTGAAGAGTTAATACATAATTAATTTAGGGGCAACTCTTTATAAAGTGGCATTTCCTTAAAACCAGTTAAATGCAGATTATGCCAAGTTAAAGTGGCAACTCCTTCAACCTATATTTAGGGAAAGTATTTTTCTGACAGAGCTTCAATTCTAAGCCTGCTCTTTTGTCATCTAGCTAAACATTAAATTTAATATTCACCATTGTGAATTTATTCACTTAACATTCGTTTCAGGCTCTTCATACATTATTCAGTTGCTGCCCGGTAGCAGCTAATTAACTTCGTAAGATGTGTCCAATTTGCAGCTGCTTTTTAACAAATTACAACGTTCATGGGCCCAGAGCTTCACTTCTGACTAATTTATGCGCCCACTGCAACATAGGAGGAAAAAATTGAATAGGAAAGTCGAAAGCGAAATTTCAATACTCTTTAGGGACATAGAAAAATATTTATATAATCAAAATATTATTATTTATATAATTTTATATAAATTATATATACTTTTTCAACTAATTTTTTACAAGAAAGCCCTTGTACCACCTTTAATTTAGATAAATATAGTGACTAGTTGAGGCTATATGGATGCAGTTCAACAATCTTAGAGCACTCAAATGACTTACAGTCTTGGCTATCCGAACATAATACCCTGTGTGTCAGGGTATCAGAAGTGCTTTCAGTGGAATTTTCAACGTTTCACTTTAATTAAGTATGACGTCATCAAGGTTCTGCTCTGTTTTTTCCTTTCCACATTTTTATTATTTTTTTTTTGCTCACGTGGTGGTCAATTAGGCAAAGTCATCGCTTGGCATACGCCTTCATTGGCTTTGACTATTTTCAAATAACATGGAAAACTTGTATGCGCTGACGTTGATGAATTTCCCCAACATTTTGGGCAGCATTTAACCTCAAAGCCCATTTTCTAGCTAATAGTTGGGCAAGGAACCCAACAGAAAATGAAGTGCAATATGGAAAGTTGGAGTCTTGGCAATGGGGCGTTGCCTAATGTCTGCAATCAATTGCCAAATGTCAGGTCAGGGAGTGCTTTAAGCGGGTTGCATATATTCTTTTAAAACCATTTGAAAATTTTCCGTAATTGCTGGTGAGTGTTCAATTGGAATTAACACAAATAACTTAGCTCGATTAATCAACTGATAGACGTAAGTCGCAGAGACAAACAAACAACTTGACTTGCTGAAGCGCTTCAAGCTCGCTGAAATGCAGTAGCTTCCTCTGTCACTCAGCCTTGCAAGAAGGTACACAAGTAATAAACAAGTAATACAATTGCAACAAATAATACTTTTTAATACTAACTTTTGCTCTTCATTTATTGTAGTAGAAAACGTTGCCTACTTTTGCGCGTTTCCTTAATTCACAATTAGGTAAAATATGCAGCATACTTTCGAGCGCCCGAATAAGAAACGTTCAGTTTATAAGAGTGAATCACTCTTAACATATAATCACTTTAATAAGTTTTATTATTTAATATGTTTAAGTTTTTTAATTATTTGTAATAAAAATAAAAATAACGAAAAATTCATCAGCTTGTTTTTGGATGCCAAAATGTTATTCCGCTGCTCGCTAACAGATTGCAGCTGATGGTCGACTGTTAGGCTGCAACTGCATTGCAATCTAAACTGTTAAACAGCTGTTAACTTACAGCTCATGTAAAAAAAATAGTGCTGAAAGAGAAATTGTTAGTGTTCGTAGGGCATTTTAATGTTATTTTTGTATTTGTTAAGATTCTTACAGCAAGCCAAAAATGTTCATTACTAACTCCAAAATCAACAAAATTAATAATAATTAAAAGTAAATAATTTTTGTAATATCATTTTATTCGTTATATCTCAAAGACTTATTGCACGATAGATGCGTGACTTGGAGAGCGACTAAGAACGATGCTAAACACAATTTAAATTATTTGGTACGGGTTGATTCATCTTTTTTCTTTTCAAGTAAATATATAAGCAGGTGAAGTGAGTTACGTACAAATGGTTTTTGCTTTTCATTATCGATGGTTCTTACTGTAAATAGTTTAACTAGAGACTAAAACCAAACACCCCAATGACCCGAGTGCCGAGTGCCCGTACCGTGGACGCTCAGTACTGTCGACCCATGACTCGATCCAAATCATTCCAACTGCAGGAATAATCGATCTGCAGCAGACCCTTCTTGCTCAAGCCAAATTTACGCGAATAAATTCCGGCGTAGAGCGACGAGTCGCTTGGCGAATCGCTCTGCGTCCCACCCGTCCGTCCGTATAGTGTGGATGGCGCCGCATAGATGAGCGACGTCGCCTGCTGCTGGCACTCGGCGCAATCCGGTAGGCTGCAAAACGGCATTGTAGCATACGGATTGCAATAGTCGTACGCGGGCGAGAGCGGAGGCGGCGCTGGAAAATCAATCTGGGGCATAGCCTTTGCCTGTGCCATGGCCAACGATTTGCCAGTGGGCGTGGCCGAGCTACGCTTGCGTCGTGGATGCGGCGCAGTGCCATAGCCCGAACTATAGTTGGAGTTGTTGTAGCTAGTGCGATCTCTGGTCTCACTCGGTTGGGCATGACGCTGCAGCGTGGCTGCACGTCGAGGCAGCGTCGTCATCAAGGGCAACTCATCACTTATGGAGGAGTGTGGCTCCGTGGAGCTGGCGCTGGAGAAACCTGACAAGAAATGGAAGATTGTAAGTAAACTGGATAAGAATAGAGCATGGATTGAGCCTGACATTGTGGCCCACACACATACCTCCATAGCCATTGTATATCTGACGCTGCTCCTGTTCCTGTTGCTCGATGTCATCGTCATCCAGATGCAGCTGCCTGGTCATGGTGGCCATATAGTCATCATATCGACTCGATATGGGTGCCTGGCCATAGACTTCGCTGCGTGCTGCATAGAGCAGCTCCTTGCGACTGCGACTGCGATTGCGACTGCCGTTGACATTGGGCAGGCGACAGCACTCCAGCTGGCACTGGCTGCGTGACAGGCGTCTGGTGTGTGGGCGTGGCATGGTAGAGGCCATGACCAGGCGATTGCCATGACCATAGACAGGACTGGGCGACTGCGAGGGCTCCAGTTCGTAGTCCAACGCCGTTTCGTAGTCTGGCAAAATGTTGTCGATGTCCATTTTCTTGCGCACATAATCGTAATTCTCCAGATCCCACGGATCCATAAAGCGGCGCTGCGACGGCAACAGCGTCGAGCCATAAATGGCCTCGGTCTGCTCTAACTGGTAGTTGGACTCCACGGGCAGCGCCTGCTTGGGACCATTGCGACGACGACGCGGCGTTGTTTGACTGCGTTCCCGCATGCTGCAGAGGGAGAGAGCGAGAGTGAGAGAGAGTGAGTGTGCGTAGCTGGTTGAGTTTTCAATGGCTCGATTATGCAATCGGATAACTCCACATTATGCGACAACAAAAACTCTTCCGCCAACCATCAACAGCAACAACAGCAATTGCAAATCTGTTGCATGCCCCATCAATATGCCACAGATTCATAGATTGTCGCGTTCATTATGTTCGCTTAAAAGCCACTAGCTCACCTTCGTCGAACAGGTGTTACAATTAATGGCATATTTAAACATCTGCATCGATTTTTTTGCGGTCAAACTAGTTGGCTTTTATATGTATTAACCACGTTTTGTTATTTATGGAAATTCACATCAACTTAATGTTTATTTTACTGTGGAAAGCAAAAGCCGATCTATTAGATAAAGTTCTTCAGACTATATATGTGATATCAGGAATTAGAAGAGCTATTAAAGCTTTGATGGACATGGAGTTGGTCTGCTGATATAGTGATATCACAGGTCTCTCATTCAAAGAACTGGATTATTTAATCGAAGAAATTTAGTACATAGAATATAACCAGAAATTTCATATATAGAAATCAATATGCATGGGAAGCTTTAAGATGTTAAATAAAATTTAAAATTTATTTGTACAAAGTACAGAGAGATGAATAGTATTTAAAGACTAAAGCCAATTTGAAGTATTTTATTTTATTTTTCATTTTCAATAATTAAATAAATTTTTCATACATATATTTTTTACATTTAAAAATATAAATAAAATTTTGACATAATTCTGAACGGAATTTACAACATTTCTTGCAGTTTTTTCTGTATACAAAGTAGCTTTAACCAGTTTCCATTATTTTTTTTCTGCATAAACTGAGCATAAAATGTAATTGGCTTGGCTGCCTGACAAAGTTGTAAAGTTTTTAATTAAAAATCTGTTAACTCTTCCGCAGTAGAAAATATTCATTTACTATGAATAAATATATTATATAAAATATGTGAAATGCAACTGACGCTAAAATTTGGCATTGCATGCCGAAAAGTTAATTGAGATAAAATCCGATTCGCTGAGCTGGAAAATCAAATAGTTGATAAGCTCCCCTTAAGGGGGCATGGGGAAGGGGGATTGACTTTTCATGATGTCCATTTAATAGCATATTTTGTATTGTCCGACAGCTCCCTAATTGAAATTAACAGGAATTGTGTTTGGCATATTATAATTATATATTTTTACATTTATTTCATGTTTGCTTTTATATTAAACTCAAATTTATAGCCAAAGGTTTTTTTGTTGAAAATCAATTTTTTTTATACATAAAAAAACCAAATTCCCCATCATAAATTATTTATTATTGATTTGCATTCAAAGGTCGACAAATTAAAGTGATTTAAATATAACAAAAGACTTTTGGCACTTGTATAAAATATTTTAGTTTCAAATGAGGCAAATGATGAGCCGAATCAAACGAACTAAGTTGAAGGTTAAGCTATAAAATTGTACTAAGATAGGTAAGATAGATATTTGTATAGCATAAGCTGAATATAGAAAGGCGTTGACTTAAAAACTAAATAAAGAATTTTGTAAATATTTACAAAGCTTTCTATTTAAACTATTGTCAGTTCTTGTTAAAATATAAAAGAATTATTTAGCTAATTTTTATAAGATATTTGCGAATGAAATATGAGAGATATCAGCTTGAAATTTCTTGTTTCAAACGAAACTACTCGCTCAACCAGGCCTATCATATCGCAACATTTCTCCAACTATTGGCATGATGTCATGTATTAAAAGGGTATATTGTGCTATCTAATTAGAGCGTCTAGGCCACACCCATCTACTTATAATGCTTATTCACACATACTCATGCATATTTGAAAAGATATTTCATATGTTCAGCAAGCATTGCCTCAGTCCCGGCAAGTGCAACGATCCATTATAACCCGCACATTCATCTGTTTGTTTGGCAATATGTTGCTTGAGATATTGGCCATATATTGACTATTGATTATTTGGGTTTTTCTCTTTTGTTAACCACATTTTGTTTTACGCCCATTTCAAGTCGCTGCGGCTTATGCAACTATTTTGTAGGCATTTGCAATTTGCTAATTTGCATAGTTTTTTGTTTTAATTTCTTGGGCGATCGATTTACATTTCTATGGGTTGCATGCCTCCCCCTCTAGCCATCTCTCTGTTTCCATCTCTCTTTTACTAAATTCCTCCCGCTCTCACTAGCCATTGACACAATGTCGGGCGCCCCTAACCAATATTTTATTTAGCATTTCTTTTGTTTTCTTAGCCAAAGCAAAAAAAATTTATAAAATACACAAAATAAATTGCAATATAAACAAAGCAACGTGACTTTGCTTTGGCACGCAAATCAAATTGGCTGGCAACAACTATTTGCCTGGGCGCATATATTTTTAAATAAAATAACTAAACAGATGGGTATGCGCGACTAGGCAGATACTTAGAAGATCGGATGGAGCTTTAAAAAAATTATTCATTAATAAGTTTTCTGTTCATTGATTAAAGTTTGTCTTTTGTCTTTGAATTCCTTGTTGATTTATCTATATTCAAGCAGTTCTTTAATCTGTCATGAAGGATCAACTGTTACCTAAGCTCTTATAATGGACACTTGTACTCTTCTTTCCCTCTGCTCCAGTGCCAATCTAACCGTATGCCCAATCCAAGCTCAACTAACTTTCATCTAGACCATATTCCGAAATACATATTTTCCGAGCATTTAGATCATGTCTGAATATACTTTACTAAATACAGTTGATATAATTTTTATCCGAAAAGCATAAAGAAATAAAACCAATCACAATCGCTGAACGTCATAAATTAGATTCTTAGGAAAATGGAAAGAGATTTCTCGCTTCGCTACAAATACAACTTTCTTATTACCTTCTGCCGAATATAGCCAATAAATAATGGAAATTAGTTACTTTTCCCTGCTGCTTACTACCCAGAGTACCCTCTCTACAAGTATACAGGGTATTACCACGATGCCCATGCCTATGCCTATATTTTACCATATTTCCATGCACGCAAATAAATCGAGCGATGGTTACAATATTTTGATTTATTACAGTTTTTGCAACGCTTAGTGAGGCATGGAATGCAAACAGATACAGACTGAGTTACACACACAGAGACACACGCACACCCTTCGGCATGCAGCTGTGTAGTTGCATAAATGCATATTACGTATACGTCATGTGGTACAAGCAAGCAACTCCAGCAAGACAATGCAATTAGCATTAACCACAAGGTATATATACATGTATGCATATATATAATTGTATAGTACTGGTCGTCGTTTAATTAATTGCCCACGATGCAGATAGCGGTCTTGGTCAGGGGTTAGTTGGCCATTTGTTTGATTGGACTCGGCTAGCAGTCATCAATTGGCTATTTGCATACCAAATGTGCGAAGTTCACGCTATAATTAAAGTACCTCAGACTTAATATAGCTGCTGCGCACTAATATGTCGCTTAAGCTAATCAATATTCAAATTCCCTGACTTAATAAACTTCATGTTATTTGGCTTTATTAAAGCAAAGCAAAAACCCACTTGAAGCTTATTATGACTTTTTAATACGACTATAAAAGCCGCAAGTGCACGACGCTGGAGTCCAAGATAAACCAAGTGAAATTTGTGTAATCATTTTTAAGTGCATTTTCATAGCCAACGCAGCGCATAAATTGATTAAAAACGAGACACAATAAAGTGAAGCAAGCGCCATAAAACAAGGCAGCTATAGAAATGTGTGAAACAGATTGGAATCTTATCGGCAACTTTGCAACTCTTCAACTAATTCAACTTAGAGTGTATAAGAATTAGAAGTTCATAAATTGAATATATTATTTTCCAGTTTTGCCATCCTTCTCTAGATCTATTCCAACTACAATTTCTAAGACACAAATTGAAGAGCTAATCAATATACAAATTTAATCCCTACTAAAGTGCGTAAGCTTATTAATAATATTAAAAAAAATTATCAATAAAATTCCAAAAAACGATTCAAAAAATTTTTTTTGCAATCTGCTTTAAAATATTTTAAATTAATTTAAAATTCACTTTTTGATTCATTCACAAATTTGACTCTTAAGTCATGTTTTATTAACATTTCAGTTTATTTGTTCTCATGTTTTCATTTTAAATAATCGTAAATAAAAATAATCTGCATTGTTTTCTGACTGCTCAGCTAGCTTCAAAAATGCAGAGCATGAAAATACTTCCTGAATTATCAGTAAAATATGTTTTTAATATTCAAATTTAATTTTTCAAACGACGATTGATTGTTATGCCAATGATTTTATTTAAGCTGAATGAAATCTTCATCTCGTTTTTTTTGCATTTTTTGGCAGTGCGTCAAAATTTTTGATAGTTGAAGAAAAAAACAGGTTTTATTTTTATGTCTGACGACCTTGCGAATTATGCGAAATGATTAGCTTAAATGGAATACAAATTCCTATAAATAAATAGCTGAACTAGCTGTGATATCATCAAAGAAGATGAAGATGTATGGGTTAGTTGGATATTTTATATATAGGATATAGATATAGAATATAGATCTGAACTGAATCAATTTTCATTTTTATCTGACAAAAATATTATGAATAATTAAGAATTTTTGCAGATATCATAAGATATCATCATTTATATATAAATAAATCTAAACTTTTATTAATGTCAAAGAACTCCAAGAACTCTCTTTCTCCATATATAAATATAATTTATCTTCAAAGAAAGATCTCACGTATATTGCTTGATTATTTATTCAGTGTCATTAGAATGCTTTCTTTTATGTCCTAAACCTTAACGTGTTTTCTTTTCAAATCAAAAAGTTCTCTTCTTTAGAGCACAGATTAAAGATATTTCGCATTTCAATTTGTGGCTCCGCTGGTGGCTTGCCGAGCTGCTTTCTTCTGGAATGTGTTCTTCCATGCTGAAGCCTAAAGAATCTTTTGTATTTATTTATCACATTCGCATCACGCATCAACCGCGCCCTCAAATAAACACCCAGCAACAAGTGTTTAACGAAATGACTCAGCAAACAAATTAAAAATAAAAATAAAAAGTCTTGCAAATCTTCTCAATAATTCTTCTGCTTTTCGAACTGGCCTGCCTGGGCGTATGACAATTGCCAACGCTTGATGATGATCATCAGCAATGAGTTATCCCAAAATGGTCTTCTTTACATTGGCATTGCAATGTGGCCTACGCCAACACCAACAGCAACAATACAGTGCCCGAGACAAGCCTCAGACAGCCTACCAGCTGTCGTTATAATCATATGTCGTAAATCATATTTCATTCTATATGTTGTTGAGTAGCCCACGTTTGGCTCTTAGCTGTGTAACTTTCTTTGCATTTGACATAGTTTGCCATTTCTGGATATTCATTCACCTTTTATTATTATTATATCGATTTTTGGACCTTATATTCTTTATTTGTTCACACTTTTTCTTTTTGGTCGCTTGGGCCAAAAGCTGTTTCCACAGTTCTTTCTTTTCAAGTTTGCTTTTTTATTTGCGAATTTTAAGCACGTTTCAGTCGCGGCACATAGAGTACATTAATGCGCTTGCCAGGCATGGCAAGCCACAAATCTTTTCGAAGATCGCCGCATAAAAAACCTCCCACCGATACATGCGCTTCACGAGGCGCTCGCGTCTTGACTGACAACTTGATTTGTCTTCACTTCTGCGCAGACTTACGAACTTAAGGCTGCAACGCACAAGGTTCGAGCGCTGATCGAACATAATGAGGTAGTTGCGTCTCGACTCGAAGCCGCTGCGCTTTTGCGCAGACTGACTACTTACAACCAACGTGTATGCGGCTGCATGCTAAGCGCCGATCGAACATGTATGCATGTTACAGACTCTGAGGCTCAACTTAAGCTATTGTATGCACCGACTCATAACCAGGTTCGAAAGGTGTGCTGCTGACGCATGAGAAACGCCGATCAAATATTCCCGCTATCACTGACTGATTGCAGAGCCAACATGCAACAGGTTTGAAGTTGCAGCTGCTGGCTAATCGAGTCTCTAGAGCCTAATAAGCCTCTTAAGCTTATGCCAACAACATTTTCGTTGATCTTGTTCTGCTTATAACTGCCTCTCAAAATGTTGTTGCTTGTTAATTAAAGCTAATTATTTGACAAACTTTTCACTTGATTGACAATAACTTACAAGTGATAGCTACATTTGAACAATTTCTTCTTTCTCTCTGTCAACTTGTCAACGAACTGTTGCCAATTAAAATACGTGGCTTTGTCGCAATGACAATTTGAACAACTCGTTGACAGCAGCAACATGCCAACTAACATGAGCTTTGACAGACATATAAACACAAGAGATCGGTCATTAATACTGATTGAATGCAAATATTTTTCTGAGCTGTGAGCGTAAATACTTGATGACTTTTTAATGCAGTCATACTGTTTGTACTTTAACATACGCTTTAAAAATTAGATGACTTTATATTAAAGATTCTTAGATTAATTGATCTGCTAGAGTCCTACTTCTTCATATCTATTCCTATGTCTTCTACTTCTAGCAAACTTAATCTCTTCAAACCTGGTTTGACACACATGTTGCACTTGTTCAATGTTCGTTTTCAAACTTGAATTGATGTCGAATCTTGTTGGTGTGGGTTCGATCTTGCTAAAGCCAAAATTTTACAACTTTGAACCCTCACCCAGTGCTCAGGCTTTAATTAATTAACAACATATTTAAGCCACTGTGAACTGATTATATCACAGCCAGAGCTAAGCTTTGAATGCGCATTGATATGTAAATTTGTTTTTCTTTGTTGGATTCGTAGCTCTGGCATGCAGTTAAACTAGTTGCCAAGTTCAAAGAGAAGAAATGGCTAGCAATTACATAACAACGTGTAGCCTTTAAACTTGAACCGGCTTTCAATTCGTTGTTGTTTACTTTTGGGAAAATATGAGAGTCAAGTCGACTGTCACCGCCCGCCGCACTGAACGTGGTCAACATCAACACTTCGTTGGCATTTGAGGTTTGTAATATAATCTATCTCACTCTCTCTCTCTCTCCTTTTATGCCTCTCTCTGTTTCACTTAACAATTCAGCTCCCACTTTTTCAAATGTAAATATTAAATTTATGCATAGTTTTTTTTTTCTATTTGTGGGTTTTGGTTTGAAAACTTTTCGTTTATTTATAAAAAGGTAAATAATTGCCAAGCCACAGAAAAATGTTGAAAAAAAATCAAATAAAACAAAAAACTTTCACTTTCAGCGCGTTGGCGGCATTGTCATTGAGTCGCTCACATATCATTTTCATGGGGCAGGTCAGTAATTTCGTTTGCGGTCGAAACCTCGTTGAGTGCCAATAAAAAGCAGCTATTGATGTCAATTAATCATTGCAAACAATTTAATTAACATTTAAAGAGCTTTTGAGGTCGCTTTGCGGTGGGCAAACATGAGAAATTTGAATTTACTTTTTGATTTTAATAATTGAAGAAGAAAAATATTTGAAGTGAATAAAATATGAGCGATAAAAATATAATATCGATTTTGACTTTGAAAATTTGTAAATAAATTGTGGAAGCATAAAAGCTATTTGAAAAAATGTTTAACTAGTTATTAAAAATATATGAAAATAATTTAAGGCCATAAAGATTAATAGAAAATATTATATTAAAAGAAAAAATATAATACTGCATGCTGTGCCAAGATCTCATCATTCAGCTTAATTATAATCATTCACTGAATTAGTATAAATTGCTTGCATTGTATAGAGAAAAAATTTGACTCTTCAGTTTATATTTCTGATATTGAAAAGTATTTTAACTCCAAATTGAATTCAAGTTATTAACTGGAAAACTTTTTAATGGCATTTCAGCTAATTAGTTTCAGTTTTAACAATTTGTCGTCTTTGTATATCATATCTATAAATATTGGCCCAGTCGTATTGAATTAAATAAATACAAGTAAATAAAAGGGAGCTAAACCACAGCCCGAATAAGCCGTCGTAAGTTTACTTCAAAATTCATTCAAAAGCTGCAATCCAGATTTTATAAATCAAAAGCCCACAAATTCCACTAATAAAAAATATTTATAGATAACCCATAAAAATTGTTCTACTTTGGTAATTCAATAAATATTTGCACCCATTTAGAAACTAAACTGAGCCGAAACTTAATGCTCGTGTGCCAAATACCTGGCTACCAAAGCTAGTAAAAAAAGCAAGTAAGAATGTGTAGCTGACCGAAGCCGACTGCACAATACTCGTTCACAGCTGAATTAAATGTTATTTCAATCTTATCGAATAGATCTATATAGAGAGGCGTAAATATAAACCAGTTTCATAGCTCTTATGCCAAGCTCCTTTTAATATTATAGTTTGAGCTCTGAATGAAGTCAACAAATTTTATTTATTTTTATCGATTTACTATCGTTATTTAATATCGATCTACCATTGGTTATAGCGAAGAAATTTTAACAATTCCTTTGAGTGAACGCACCAGAATTTGTTTAAAATTCCAAAGCTTCAAGCTTCAAGAGAAACAAAATTAATAAACTCCTTTCATTTCCTGAACGGGTATATAAAAAAGAACCAGGTAAACTGCGCAAATGGCCAACGGGGCTTATTGTATGCATTTATGAGTGTGGCAGAGAAAAACCTGCTCCAGTATGCCTCTCGCCTCTCACGCCTCACTCCTCGCCAATTGTGCCGCGCCTCTCTTTCGGGAGGCAGCAGCTGGTTGCCTTTAAAAGTGTCGACTCGGCGGCTCGTTGATCTCTGCTCCAATTTTTGTGCGCGGCAACTTTGGCATTGTGCAACATGCGGGCAGCTATACATATGCTTGCTGCCACGCGTTGTTAGAGGCAGCTGCATGGCAGCTGATGCAGATTTGCCAGCCCTCCCTCTAACGCTGCCTGCCTCTCTCCCCACCTGGTTCACCTTTTTGTGTTGAGCTGCCTTTGCCTCACCTTTCGATTTTTCATGTGTCGTTTTATAGACGCATTTATCGCTTTATGCGTTTGATTGCAACACGTTTCGATTATATTTTTTTCTTCCTCTTTTACTTGTTGGAATTGGACCTGCACCTTTATGGCCTTTTCCTTTTCCCCATGGCAAGTTCCCCGCGAGACCCTTGAAGCCACCTTGCCACTCTTGCACTCATTGTTCGACTTGCACGTGTGCTTCACACACACAAAAAACCAGCTAAAGAAATGGCTAAGAAATTTGTCTTCTTATTGTGTGTGTGTGTGTGTAAGAGTGTGTGTATGGTGTGTGCTTCCCATTTATTGTGCCGCGTCAGCAAAAACTTTTGCAATGCCCGCTGCCAAGTGGGTTGGTCCAACAAGGAAACAATACATTAGCTCTATGAGTCGCACAGGCGGCGAGAGTTTCCAGAAAAGAAGGAAAATCAAATAAATAAAAGAATCAAAAGGGAACAAAATACATATTTTATTTAATAAATAAATAAAAAGAAACTTTTGCTTCTCTAATAAAATAAACTTCAATCTTTGTTTGTTTCTGCCTGAATTTCAATGAAAGCAAAAATGTTTTAGGCAAAGATTTATGAATTTAGGATTAGGCTAACTGGCAAGCAAATGCAGAAAAATATCCTTAGGTTAAATGTTTTTATTTGTAGTCTTAAAACTTTATATATTGAACTATTGATAATCAAATATTGGCGTGGTATTTATGGCATTGCGATTTATTGATTGGCATTAAAAAAGGAAAATTTCGAAAGGAAAAATTATTTAAGACTTCAAATAATAGCTTTAAAAACTTTAGGAAGATTTTTAAAAATTATATTTTAAACGAAAACAAATTATAATTAAGTCTAAGCGGTCATATAAACAAAAAGTATTATTTTAAAATCTGAACTCATTGAATTCTGTCATCTATTATAGATACAACAACGTTGTAAGGTTCCTTTATAGCCTTTATAGAGTTAGAAATTCATAAAAATTATTGCCAAAAAGGGCTTTCGCGCAGTTTTCAGACAAATTGTTATAATATAGCTTGTGGAAATATAACTTAAAGATAAATCTTTTTATATAATATATGCTTTGATTTCGCAACTGCAATCTCTTTATCAAAATTAAGCTTGAACTTTCGCGCGGCTGATCGATGGTTCATGTATTTGATGGGCGTACGTATCACAATCATATTTTAAACCATTTATTGCACAATTGAACAGAGATGATGCAACAAGATAGCAACAATATAATATGCTCGTAAGTAAGCTGTATTACCAGACAACAGACAACAATAACAACAACGACGTGAACAACTTGAACAGCTCACTGAGGGCCAACAAATCGCCAGCAGCTTCAACGCAAATCTTAAGTCCACAAACAGCTAAAGATGCTGCTGAGTTCAAGTGGCACTGGCACAAATCATCAGCATCAAAACAACAACAACAACAACAACAACAGCAACAATGAAAACTGCAACGCCAGACTCCAACTTTGGCATAATTTGGTCAGATCTTTCGAGCTATGTTTGGGTTTTTATGCGAAAACAGGGTAAACAGGGTATATTGTTTTTGTCAAGCTTTTTTTGGCTAGCTAGTGACTCTTGATGTGTTAGTCTGTCCGTCTAGGAAAATTCGTCGCTCTCGAAAAGCGTAAGAACGGGAGACTTAAATTCTGAGCAGTAAGTTCATTAGGAGCTC